AACTAAAATCCTCCAACATAAACCACAGGTATAAAGTACTTGAAAAAAAAAAGTAAAAGTAACATTACATGAACAGAAAATGACTTTGGTAAAAATAAATTTCACGGACGAGAAAACTACTCAAGTAAAAGTAATAAAACTGTTCACAAAAACTGGGAAAGTAAAAGTACTTTTACACACTAAGAAATAAACTGTTGAACTTACTGAACCAAACTGGTTCCACCAAGTCAGGTTGAGTAAATATTTATGTATTCTTTGCTCAGTTTACTCAGCTAGGCTCAGTGGAGCCAGCTGACATGACTTCAGTTTTTAGAGCAGAAACATCTTTTTTTCATATAAAAAATATATATTTATATATAAAAAATATATATACACACAAGATGCTAACTATGACTATCTGAAACGTTAGCTTCTCTCAGTAGCTCCATGAAAAACAAACAGGTTGGAGACAAACTGTTGTCATCATCCTAAAATAATCACCAAGGTTTTATTTGGCTAAACTGAGTTACATTATTTTATGAAGGTGCTACTGTAATGGACTGATTTAACTAGTGACCAGATATCTGCAGGTTGGTTAACTCACAGGAACATCACAAGATGGAGGAGGCTTTGATAAATATGTTTATTCAAACTACAAAAAACTAATACTAGAACTAATAAAAACTAAACTAAAACGAAGCATTAAAAATGCAGTAATAACTAATAAAAACTATCAAATCCACTATAAAAACTAATTCAAACTAACTGAACTAAAAGAAATAAAACTAAACTATAATGAAAAATCCAAAACTATAATAACTAAGATCCAGATGTGACGTCACGCTGAACTGAGGTTAAATCATAAAGTGTTTCTTTTTAAAACATTCAAATCAGACAGTTTGAAAAGCAACAGATGAAGTTAATTAATTTATATTTTAGAAAATAAAAACTGAAATGTTTCCTATAATCGAGGCAGAACCTTTAAAGATTGAAACAATGTGACTCGCTTTGATGACGTCGTCCTTTAGGAACGACTGGAGCCTAAAAGATGAGATTATGTGAGGTAATCTGAGAAAAACTAACAAAACAAACAAACAAAACAAAACTAACAAAATTAAAACTAAACTAACAAAATAAAACTTGTCAGGGATTAAATGACTCGACAACTGAAACGACTTTAAAACACAAAAAGTTTTACAAACAGAAGAAGGTCAACAAATGTGGACCAGCAGGTTCTACAGGACCTGGATTCTCAGAACTCTGAAACTTTCTGGTCCCAGACCAGCAGCAGGCCCAACATGGTCCAGACTTTGTCCTGGTCCCTGAACGGCTCAGAGACTGCTTGACCTCTGACCTCAGACACACACTGAAGAAACGAAAGGAGGTCATTCAGGGCCGGACACAGGGTTCGGTCGACAAATCCTACTGCCCCACTGCCCGGGGCAGGTCAAACTCATGCTCAGGCAGGTGGGTGTGTCCCGACACCTGCCTGACCGGCCAGGTAAACGGTTTTATTTTTTCAAAAATATTCTGAAAATAAATAAAGAAATGTAGCGTTTTAAAACACGTAGAGAGAATAAATCCTCAACATTTCCCTCCCCTGTAGAAAAGTTCCGTTGTGTCACAGGATGATTTCCTCCCTCCTGCTGCTGCACGTCACACACAGTGAAACTTTAACAACTCCAGTTTTTACACACAAGTTGTTGTAGAAAACCTTGTTTTTATGTGTTGTTGCCACAGAGATGATAAAAGATGGACGTTTGTTCAGTCATAAATCATAATGTAACAGTTCTGCTCTGAGAGCAGCACAGGGTCAGTTCAACAGGCACACTGTATGGCAGGCTGATGTTGCATTTATTTGGCTTCACCACGTTTATATTCCAGTAATCTGAAATTGTTTTATGACTAAATTAGACAGATTAGCTATTTAGGATGAAATAATAAAATGTTTTCTTTTATTATTTAGTTTTGTTTTATTTACTTATTGTTTTAATTTGGAGATTTTTCCAGCTTGAACTTGTTTGTTTGTTGAATTTGGAAAATAAGGAACAAATACAATAGTTTTTACTTCACTCTGCACCCTTTTACTTCAGGGTAGGATTTACTTTTTTTAATGCTTTACATAGATTGTTTTGTTTTTATTAATGAAAGAAAGAAACAAATAAATAGACATTTCTTAAAATATTTTGACAATTCAAAATACCTATTTAAGATATYTMWWTMTATWMTKACWTGTATAAATAACATTAGATTTATCATTAAGTTGTATGGAGACTCCAGTTCAACATATCTTAAATGTATCTTTAGATATGAGATAGACAATATAAGATTTAATTAATGTAAATTTCAGACTTTTTCATGTTGTGTAAATAGTATTTAAAACAAAGCTGCTGCTGTTGATCATTGTGTTTTTATAAGCAGTCCTCCCAAGACCAGTACTGCAGGGAAACACTGCAAAGATCTAAAAAAGGTTTTAGATATTTGTGATAATAGAATTGACTGTTAGTGACTCAGTTTAAAATGTTTGCATCTGTTTAATCAGATGTCATATTTTATGTACAACCATGGTAATAGTTTTGTAGTACAAATACATGTTTTTCTTATATTTTATCAAATTTTGAACATTTTTGTTTCGGGCAGGTAACATTTCATGTCAGACAGGTGACATTTTTCATCACCTGTCTGACAGGGCAGGTAAAGAAAAAAAATCTTGTCGAACCCTGGCTGGTCAGAACCATGACCCGGTCACCATCATCATCATCATCATCATCATCATCATCATCATCATCATCAGCTGTGTTCCACACAGATCCTAAAATCTATTTTATTTTAATCTCTGATAAAAGCTGGTCCCACAGACTGAGTCTGGTCTAGGATCTAGAGTCAGGCGTGTCCTCCTGCTTCCTCACATTATTAACTTCACATCAGGCTGCCAACATTCAGCTGACAGGAAGACCCAAATCAGCTGAAGCTGGGTTCACACCGGACCTGTTTGAGCAGCCAAAGCAACCAGTTTACATGTAAAGTAAACTGGACAGTCCTGGAGCAGCTAACAGTCTTGGAGCAGCTAACAGTCCTGGAGCAGCTAACAGTCCTGGAGCAGCTAACAGTCTTGAAGCAGCTAACAGTCTTGAAGCAGCTAACAGTCTTGGAGCAGCTAACAGTCTTGGAGCAGCTAACAGTCTTGGAGCAGCTAACAGTCTTGGAGCAGCTAACAGTCTTGGAGCAGCTAACAGTCTTGGAGCA